TTAATTCCATTTAATCAGCTAACAACATTTTATTTCATAACTTGGGGCAAGCATTAGAAATAAAGAGTTGACGCTTGTAAATGTCGAGGGTAAATTATTGATATATTTAAATAAATTATTATTTTAGATCTCATGATTTGCTTTTTTGATAATAATATTGATAATAATAATAACAACTTAATATTGTATCCTTAGCCAGATATTCTAGATACATTTGTATCTTATTCGCTTACTAAGGTAAAAGATTTACAGATTTGACACCTTTTTCTGCCAGTTGCTGTTCAATATATTTGCAAGGTAAAAACTTTTGTTTTGCTTTTAAAAGAAAATTACGATGTACTCAATAAATCTCTTTTAAGTCAACTTCCATTAAGGACCATTACTTTAAATAGCAACTGAGACCAAGGTAAGCAGTGTACAATATTTATTCGTATCACCTGAAATGTATTTATATGCAGGCTAGTTCCAGAAATCGACTGCAATCCAATTTTTTCAACCAAGTACAAATATTGTTTTTAATGTAATTGAAAAATATTTTATTGGTTTCTTTTTAGCGCACAATTTCATCGAATATTTAAATCTAATTAAATAAATGTTATTTATTATTAAATATAAAATATAAAATGAATAATATTTAATATATAAAATGTAATATATATTATATATATTTTTTGTTTTTAGTAAAATCAAGATAAATAGAGTATAACTATTTGTAAACATACATTTTTTTGCTCACTTAACTAACTTTATAATGTTTTACATTTTACATCTATAAATATTTATAGTTTTTTAATTGTAGTACATAAACTAACGTTAATTTTAGCTTACATATTTACATACCATTTCATAATAAATATTTCGATTAGTTTTTAAACAGCGTTAAAAATATGTCTATATATAATTTGGTGATAATTGATAGGAAATGAATTTGAAAACTCGCTTCACTGTTACGTTTGCTGCTGCGATTGCTACTGCTACTGCTGCCCCTGCTACTGCTGCGAGTGCTACTGCGACTGCTGCTGCCTACCCCAAAGGGACTAAATGGCTGTTCACATAACTGTTGCTGTTGCTTTTGCTGCCGAGGCTATTGCGATTGTTGCCAAGCGTTGCACATACGCCGCATTGTCGACCGATTCATTTCCTGCTATCGAATTTCCGAATTTCCCCCGACAGCATCAAAAGGCTTTGCTGCCAAGACAGCGGCCGTGCGGCTCGTCCTCGCGCTGATTGCACAAAGCCCCTGGCATTTTCAGCAGAAACAAATTAATGTTGTAAAAGAAAATCAAAATAAAAATACAGAAGAAAACAGAAAACTTGGGCAATGATTCACATGCTCAAATTCAAATCCTGCGCCTGCTGCCGCCTCTTGATTATGTGCCGATAAGTTTCTTGTGGTTTTGCGTGCCACATGATAAGTAAACAGCAACAACAACCACTTTGAATGTGCCTCGCGCGTGTCTTATTTTAATTTGGAATTGTATTTCCTTTTCGTTTTTGTGTATTTCGTTCTATTTGCTCTGCCCCCCAAAATTGCCGGATATTTATTTGAGCTTTAAATAACAAATCATTATCGATGCGCATTATAAATTTGGTTTGGCAGCCGCAGGACCCGATGTTCCGAGGCGAGGCAATTTCCTAATGACAAGGACACTTGTAAAATCTCATTGAATAATATTGCATTTGTGTTCCTCGAGCAGATTAATTTCCGGCATTTAGACTTAATTCCCTAGTTGTACAGCGGATGGGACAAGGCAGCCAGGACTAACCAAATGTATGGCGGGGAGATAAAGGGACGGAAACCGTTGTCTCCATGTTCCAGCAATTGATGCAATCGGCTAAGGACCAATTTACCAACATGTCAACGGCCAGCACAAGGACAACGAACAGCAGGATCTGAACTGGGCGAAACTGGGAGAAACCAAGAGCAGTCGCAGCAGCAGCAGCAGGCGCAGGCTCAGGGCTCTGGCAGAGAGTTTTAGATTTGCACACATTACCACTCAATCTTCATAGATGTGATATGCAGGATTTATCCGCATGCCTCTGTGTCTGTGTCTGTGCCTCTGTATGTGTGTGCGGTCTCTGTGGTCGGGACTACGATATGGCCAAGCCTTTTGGGCTCAACATGCACATAATGTCCACATGGCCGCAAAGATTTATTTACAATTGTGTTGAGACATAATTCCTTTTGATCGATTGCGGGCTACAGCACCCACTTGGCTGAGTGTGTATATGTGTCCGAGTGCGTGTGTGTATGTGTGTGTGTGTGTGTGTATGTGTGTGTGTGTGTGTGTTTTGGCTGCCATTGCGGTCAGCTCTAAGTGATGATTCTTTTGGCTTTGCCTTTGGCTTGTACTGGCGCCTTTGTCTCCAGCTGCACTCGCTGTGCTTGATGCTGCGTTCCAAGCGTTCCATATTTACTGCAATTGACCGTAAGGGGCGTGGGGCTATAGGGGGGGGAGGGGGCCGGGAGGGGTATGCGCTGAATTATTTGTGCAATTTATGTGGCTTTGATTTCATTGGATTGGCAATATGAACGGCAAAGAAGGCAGCAGATATTCTGTATGCAATTGATGGCAACTTTATAATTTGTGTTGCCCAAAGGAATCGTCTAGAAAGGGGAAGGGGCACAGGGCGACGGGGCAAGACGAGTCAAGTGTGCACATTGCATGCTATTCGATATTCGTGATATGGCAGTTGGCTTCGATATAAACTAGGACTGGAAATAAAATATCAAATCAAATTAATAATTTAGAAGTGTTCTCGTTTACAATTTTAGTGCAAACGTTCAAGGAAATTAATTAAGTTTTTGTATTTAAATTTTTAATATAATCAATTTGGTATTTGATTAGCTGAAATATACTTTAATTAAATACAAATATATAATAAATAACAATAAATAATATAAAATTGTTTTAAGTGATGGATTAATAATTTCTTACTTTGTAGGCTATTTTATTTAAGGTAAATATTGTTAGGCTATTTTTTCGTTTTATTCTCGTCGAATTTTTAAACTACTAAATCTCTATCTGTTTCGAATACGAAATTGATTATAAGAGCAATCGCTTACAGCTGTTGCATTTGTGTATCTCACCACATTTATCTAAATATGTCTTAACCATTGAACAAACCAATTAATGTTTGTGTCTCAGCTGTTGCGAAAGCATTCATAATGCTCATAATAGACATTGGCCATAAAATAATGAAAGCTGTGCCAGTTGTGTTCCAACCTCAGTCGCCAGTTCGACCTCAATCTCAACCTTCAACTCAACCCTTTCAATTGCGCACTTAACGCATTCTGAAGGCAACTGCTGAGCATTGAGGCATTGAAAGCGGCTCCATGCTAGCAGCTTAAACACACACACACACACAGTCACACACACTCCCACACCCACACTGGGAGTCGCATAAATCCTTAGAGTGCGCACTTAACTCCTTTTTACGCTGCGACAAAGTACATTTACTAATGACCAAGTCAAACAATAGCGTCTCCTCAACGAGGGAAAATGCCTGAAAAGTGAAGAAGAAGGGAAAATTGTGCAGCAGCTAGGAACAGCAGAGTGGGATGTGCGGGCAGGGGAGTTGGCAGCCCCGCGAAGTAGCAATTTACGCGCTGAAGGAGGCGGCCAACAGCAAGATGGTGACAAAGCACGCAAAACGGAGCAGCAGCAGCAGCAGCAGGCGACATCCTCATGGTCGCACTCCTCAACTGCAACAGCTCCCAGAGTCAGCTTCAAGTGTTGGCAGTGGCAACAGCAGTAACTGCAGCAGCAGCAGCAGCAGCAGCATGTTAATTGCAACAGCAGCAGCAGCAACAGCAGCAGCAGCAACAGCAAACAGTGGGAAGCGTGTTTAAATAGCGTAAAGTCTCACATACACACACAAGTCTGCATTTTCGTATTGTGCTAAAATTGAAAATAAGTAAGAAAGCAATGCGCAATAAATCAAGTAGCTGGCATTTGAGATACCCTGTAAACAGCATCAAATTTTGTACAAATCAACAATGAAAACAAGGTTGTTGTTCAAATTGTGTTACTAGACTTAAAAATACTCTATATAACATACCCTGTATAACATACCTTGTAAAATTTACCCTGTATAACATACCCTGTATAGCATAACCTGCCAAGCAACAGGTAGCAGCTCATGATTTCACAAATATATTATGATAAAAATGACAAGACTATGACATAACCATATATAAAGGGTATCTGCTAGTCGAGCAGTTTCAAAATAGGTGCTTTATGATTTCTTTATGCATTCCAAATTCGATAAATAATCAAACCCGATTTATCAGTCAGCTGAACAGTCGATATTACTATATAAATGTTATTAATAAACAAATGAATTAAATGATAGAATAAATAAATAAAATAAATATGAAGTAGATTTTGCCGTTGAATTTATATATTGCAAAAAGAGATGAATATTTAAGGCAGCCGCAAGGCAGCTTAGATATGCCTACCACAGACTCTCGAACAGCTTTTGATATACCCCTTTACATGGGATATATATTTTGCAGTATCTGAACATAATAGCAAAAAGTTCTATGCTATAAAAAGAGGAGAAACAAATTCGTTGCATGCGCGCAGGCTGAAAAAGGAGAATTTTCATATGCCGCACGCCTTTAAATGTTGATGAAGTAATTAGTTTCATATGTGTTGGGAAAATGTGTATTTATATTTGTGTGCATGTGTGTGTGTTTTTGTGTGTGTTTTTGTGTGTGTGTGCGTTTGTGTGCATCAGTCGTCGTCATAGAAAACTGTAATTGAAAATATGCACAACTTTTGGCGAGAGGCATTGTAAAGTTTTTCCATTTATTAAATTTACAGCACGAGCGAGCGAGTGTGTGTACGTGTGTGTGTGTGAGTGTGTGCCGCAGAGTATTTAATTATTTTTATATGCGGCACGAAAATAAAAAATTACATAATAGCCCAGTAAAGTTGTGCCTTTGAGTAACGATTTTGCTGTCAGTTTTGAGAAATTTTTGTTTATGGTTTTCGAGTTTTCCGTTTAGCTTTTCAGTTTAGTTTTTCCCCTTAAAAGCAGTTGATTTATATTTTTGTGTTTCGTTTCTTATTCTAGTCGTATTGCTGCTTGACGACATGACGCTGCTGAACTACAACTCGTATGAGGATTACTTGGATCACTTTATCAATATCCACGATGTGCGCTATCTGCGCAACTGGAGCCTCAGCAGGCAGTTCATACAGAATGCGTGTGGCAAGAGCTGCATGGGTCGCCTGCTGAGCCGTTCCGAATACGCGGACCAGCGCAAGAAACTTGAGATTATGCTGAATCCACGTGGCATCAGCGAATCCACGCTCTTCGGCGAGGACTATGACGGCAATGATAGAGTGCTCCATGAGTTTGCCAACCGGGAATATCAGCTGCTCAATAAACAAATATCGGCAAGTAGAAATGATGCCATTTTTTTATGCCCATATTATTTTGAAAATTTCAACGTATTACTATATTTTGCAGACCATCATCTTTCTGGTAATGCGCTCGAAAAAGGGACTTGAGGTCTCCGGTTTTATTGATCTGGAGGAAAGTTTGAGGGAATCGCACTACAAGCACTCCGAGCACTATGTCAACTGGCCAGCCATATTTGAGGGCAAGGACAAGCTAATACCCCGGCCGCATCACCTGAGCTTCTTCGACTGGTACAAGAACAAGGTCAAATGCAACAACAGCGCCAACTTCAAGGTCGTTTCCGGCAGGGCGCACAGCCTGCTGATGATGCATCGGGGCGATCACAAGATAATCTGCGTGAATGCTGGCTGCACTTGCAATTGGATTAAGAACGCCAAACGGAGTGTCTACAGTTCCAGCATCTATGGACAATGTTTGTTCTTTGATCACATCATCAGGCGCATCAATTAGTCGAGGGGGGCTGAGACCTCGTCTCATGGCACGCCTTTCTCGTGTGGCACTAACAAATTGGCATGCAATAAGAAAACTATGACTGACACGCTGATTATATGCCAAAAATGCCACATACACCATGCATAAATACCTTATTTACCAGTCTGATAATTTAATTCCGCAGCTTCTGGCTGTCCCACACCCTCCTCCCTCCTTTGCCCGCCTGTCTATGTGTCTGTGAACTGCAAGAGCGAATTTGTCGTTGACAGTTTACGTAAATTGCTTTTCATATCTTATCAGTTTTTGCTGCGGCGGCCACAGTTATGCCTGCTGACATTTTGATGGACATTTTGAGGCCTCTCACAGGACAACCAACCCCTCCTCCTGCCCACACACACACACACACAACTGACCATCATCACAGAACGGAAATTATGCCAGCTTTATAAAATTTTATGTTTACTTAACAGTCGCCACATTTCTGGCCGTAAATCTATTAACAGCAGGCCACTTTCAGTTTGTCCTTGGGCCAGGATCTGCCTATTTGCCAAGTCGTGCCTGTAAGTTTGTTTGTCACTTTCAATTATCCTGTCGTGCAGTTTATTTTGAATCCTATACGAGTGCCAGCAATTGACCGCCAACTCATGTGAGTGTTAGACCAGCCGCTCAACAAATTCTTTGGCATTAAAATAAACCAAGAGGTATGCAACGGTTGACAGTTTATTGCCATAATTAGCGTCAATTTGCATAATGCATATGATAAATAAATTAAATTACATTTTATAATTTAGTAGCAATGGCGAGGTATTAAGTATATGGGTTGCTTAAATGTATATCTTTGTTCCACACAATACTGTGAAAATTGGGTGAAAGTGAAACTTATAATTTTTACGGATAATCATGTAGATATATGTTGCTTATAAGAGGCAAGTTCTTCAATTCCACAAAATAAATTTAATAATTAAGAATGCTGGAGATTTTGTTTAAAGCAATTTGAATAGAATATATTCTTTTAATGACTAGAAAACAAATATATATTCAGTTGCTTCCTTGCTCACTTCCTTAAATACATTTAGGAAAAATAATATGAGAGGTCGAGCACAATAAATAATGAATGCATTTAAATTATGATTTAAATGTCATATGCTGTGGCATATAAAATTTAATTTGCATACGCAATTACGACTAGCTGCTAATTTATGCGTAACACACACATTTCAGATCTCTTACTCTCTCCTTCTCTCGCGCTCTCTCTCTCTCTCTCTCACTCAGTCTCTCGTAGATTGCCCAGTAAATTACTAGACGCAAGTGCTTGAGAGGGCTCAGGCAACTTCTCTTTATAGTTAACCTTGTTGGTGTCCTTGTCCAAAGCCTTCAGCTAGCAATTAAAATAAACATTAAGTGCTGCAGACGTCAGGTGCAGATGCTAGAACGCATGTCCTGTTGGATGGTTCAGGGCATATGCTTGGGCGCCATGAAGCAGGCAATATAAAAATGCGAATAAATATTTGCCCAATTTACCGGAGAAACTGTGAGGGAGAGGGATAGAGAGATATAATGGGAAGTCAGTGCACACGTTACCTCCATACATGTTGATATATCTGGTTGATATGGTAAATTTTCTTATACTGGCACAATGAATTGCATTTCGGCCTCTTTGTTTGCAAATAAATTTCATTAAATCAACTTGCAATTTTCTGCCCGAATTTGTTTTCCACTCGTAAACAACTTCCCACACGCTCAAATCGCCTCGCTATGTGCTTCTCAAATGTACTCCCACTTTTTGCCTTTACTTGTGACAAATTCCATTTGTAGTCGCAAATCCTTTGGCATATTTATGAATATATATATATATATATATATTAAAGTGGTTTACATTTAATATACTCAATTGCATAATTTAATGATAGATGTGTTATCGATTTATTGTTATTGTTGTCCATTTAATTGGCAACATGTGCAAATAATAAGGTCAATGAATAATTAAATTGTTTGCAAACAAACAGCATGTGAAAGAAGTCTGCCAAAGCAATTTTTTGTAGGCCTTCCAGAATGTGATCTCACGCTCAACCCGCCAACTTTCAGAATTATGAAGATTATTTAATTTTTATCTATAGGGAAATCTTTTAATAGTTATAAAAGTTGTCAACTATAAAGGTCTCTATCTCTCTATGTCTCTGTAAAAGTTGTCCACTAAAGAAACTTATTTTTCCTCAAAGATAATCCAAAGGTGAAATTAATTTTGGGAACACATTTTGTGAATATAAATGCTGGCATTCTGATTAGATTCATGGGTCTGCCAGTGTGTTCATAATTTATGTGCTTGACCCTGAGCGCCATATGCTACTTGCTAGGCAGAAAAATCATAAAATGATAACTCAAGTCTGTCCCAGAATATGTCTAATAAATAATTTAAGCACTCTGGATTGGACTCTCGACGATGTGCTGGAAGGAAAAAAAGAGGAAGGAGAAGCTTAAGTCTGCGATGGAGAACCCTTTCAAGCCAAATAAACACATAAAGCGGCACAATGAGAGAGAGCACATAAAACCGAAGGCGAGTAAGGGGCATATTAAATTATGTTGCATGCCACAAATGCCGCAGCAGCAGTCAGTGAGGCAGCCAAGGACCGAGAACAATCATAAAATGTGACCAATAATGAAAATAATGAAGAAAACAAATGGCAGCAATAAAATACCCTATAAAATCGAATTAAAACAATTACGCAAAATTAATAAGAAAGTGTAGAAGGAAATAATAGGAAATAGAATAGATATAGATTTCCCAAAATTTAGCAGTATTTTGTAGTATTTATAGAGCAACTTCTAGTATTAAAACAAAAGGGAAACCAATGAATGCGAATTAAGAAATCGAAAAAAAATGTATAAGGTCTTTAAGAGGAACATAATGCAAAGGAGAGAGCAAAAGAACTGTCAGAATAAGTTAAAGATTTTCCTCAGATTTTTAAGTATTTACATGTATTCTCTCTCATAAGGAGAAATTGCAAATAATTATATTTATATTGTCTTTTGTCTGCTTAAATTAAAGATCTCTGAAAGCATGCACAAAAAGTTGATGTAGAGCATGTAGAAAGTGGACGTAAATTAATGATAAATAGGGTATCTGAGCGTTTAATATGTTTAGTTATACACATTTCTATTAGCGGCAGCTGTGAGCTCTTTGGTTCGGCTTGATTGAATCGGTCCTGGGCTTGCCTCCTGCCTGCCGCCCGCCCGGCCGCCAGCTTGCGTGGCTTGTCGCAAATGGCCCGAACGAGACTCGTATATAAAGCGTAAATTGGCAATGGCAAAAGGTGCCATTCCTATAGGGTCAGCCCCCAACTTTGAGTTGCTTAAAGTTTTGTGTGTGACAAATTGAGCCAACTTGGTGGCAGGGCGCCTTCACTTGCCACAAATGGCAGCAATTGTTGCGATGCGCTCGTGCCTGAAACAAAAGCATCAATTTGCCCCGAGGCCAAAATCAATTGAATTCAATTCCAGCAACATAAACCAAACAATTTTTGTTTAAACGAAATTGTGGTAGCCAATATGAAATTGAATAAGATTTGATTTCATTTTAATTACAAGCATGTTACGTATACGAAGCGTAGTTTTTTTTTTGTGGTGTTGCATTTAATTTCATATTTCAAAGAGCAGTGCAACTTTTTTGCCCACATATCAGTTGCCATTAAGCCAGCCAGATACAAACACGCACACATACACACACATGTAACATAGCATGCAAAACGGCCGAACAGACACATATACATATACATGTACACACATTGTATAAGCCAAATTTATGAGCCAGGCAAAAGCTTGTAAACCACAAATCAAAATGCAATACAAAAGCGCCAAAGCAGCTTACAATAATAACAACAAAAACAATGAGAACAACAACTACAATAATAACAACAATAACAATTATGTATCAAGTAAAAGCAATTGTAAATTTTCTAACTGAAGTCATTTTGTCTATATATCATGTGTCTGTCTGTCTCTCACAGAGCGCCTGTCTGTGTGTGTGTGTGTGTGTGTTTTGGCGGATGCCATAAATAAAATTGTGCAAAAAGATAGACTCCCACACACACTCCCACACACACTCCCACACACGCCCACACACACACACACATGGCTGGCGTCAGTCTTGAGTTGCCATGCAGCCGGAAATTGTTTCGCAACGTGGGAAATGTTTGATTTATGTCTGTTTTGTCAGTGGCCCAGCACGTCGCCTCTGCTCCCACCCGTTCTGCTCAACGTCCAGACAGTCAGTCAGAAGTTGTAAAATGTGTAATTGATGATGTGGCAAGCACACATAAAAAGCAGGCACAATACACACACACACACACACAGACACTCTCGCCCCTCCTAATATATGCGGCTAATGTGTGTCTTTCGTTCGCATTTTGTTGACATTTTCGACAAAACGTCTACAAAATGGCCAACAACAATGTGAACTGGGCCAAGATAAGTGCAGTTAAAGTGCAGGACGAGCGCGTGACGACATGCAAAACAAGTGACAAGCGCAACGGAAGTCAACTGGCAGCCGAACGGAAGCGGAAACTGCATGCAGTACAAAAAGCAGCGCGTGGAGCAAGCTTAAGGCGTATAAAATGTTGACCATTTGGCAAGCAACCAGAAAAGTCATTTTGTTGCACTAGCCCAAACGACAGCAGACATCAGGAGGCACCTTGTCTTGTTATCCTTGCAAATATATATATATATATATATATATATATATATATATCTTTTTTTTTGTCAGTCACACACAATAGCATCGCATGGGGGTTGGGGTTGGGTCTCTAGCCAAGCTGCTGCCACGTTGACAGCAATTCCCATTGAAGCTTAACAAATTGATTTTCTTCTTTTTTCCAGTTTTCTCAAGCAGCGTTTTGCAAGTTGAAGTTGGATGAATAGGTAATGAATTTGTAGAGAGTTGACACTAGTTTGACAAAGCGGTGTTTGTTGAATTCAGTACAAGCATTAACTATTAACAAATGATTATCTATTATTTTTTATCAAACATCAGATTTGATCAACAATCCGGGCGATAAAGCTTAAAAAGTGCCCTGATTCTAGCGAATGCTTCTACTAAATTGCAAACTTCCGTAAGTTTTCCAAAACTTAAGCGATTTCCCTGCAAATTATCACAAAAAAC